TCTGTGCAGGAAACAGCATTTTCCACACACACACAAATTCTGCACAGAAAGAAAACCCTGTTTCCTGCACAAAAAAGTTCTGTTTTCTGTGCAAATCAACTACAGGCAAAAAAAAAACCTGTGGCATATCCCCAATTATAACATTTGAAACATCAGAAAATGATATTTTTCAGGTGGTGTGTTTGTGCAAATTTTGTGCAGAATAAGTCCTGAATCGCAAAGAATCTCATCAGTCCAGGATTCTTTGCATCAGAGGCTCTTGACACTCAAAAACATGTTTTTCAGTCATTTTTTTCCCTTTCCATCCCTATTAGACAGACAGCTTTAATACAATTATAGGCCAGTCAAGAAAAAAAAAAACCAAGAAGAATCACAAGCAGAAAATGACATCTACGGAGTCAAATCTGGCCATTCTTTAAGTAAAACAATTACAACAATAAGCTGAGTCAACTGCAGTAAGCAAGCCCTTGTCTGGATTCCAACATAAAAGAATTCCCAGTCCAATTCTGTAATAGAGGGAGTCATGTCAGATGAACAATAAGACACACAGCATTTGTTGATGTAGTCAGATTTCAGCTCCCATCAACCTTAGCAAACAAGCAAACAAAGAGACAAGGGTGGGACCTGCAATTCAGTAACCACCGGAGAATCGGATGTTCCTCCCAGCTCTGTCCTATCGCAAGGCAAACTTTGCATAAGTTATGGCATTGTTTTGTGTCTTGATGTTGCACGGTGTTGTGTTGGATGGAAAATAGGCAGAGGGTTTTGCATGAAGGTTGAGTGACAGGAGTAAAATGTTGGATGAATTTGCATATAGTTGATGATCGGTGGAGAGAGTTTGAATGGGAGATGCTGTAACAATAAAGGGATGAGAAAGATGCTCTGAGTCCCAGTTTTGAGGAAAGGGCAGGTAATAATAATAATAATAATAATAATAATAATAATAATAGAGTGAGGAGGATGTGAGTAAGACTGGGGTAGAGTCTGGATGACATCAATGAGATGGGATTAATACTTGGATGAAGATAGATAGATTAGGGTTTAGAGGAAGGTAGGCAATGTTGGTAGGGCAAGAGATGGCAAGTAGCAACTTTAAAGAAACTACCTTTGAGTTTTGTTTGTTGTTTGTTTATTTATTAACTGGTTTCAATTTTACCAATAGTTTAATGCACAACCACAAACTGAATTCATCCAGTGTGCGATGGCAAAAATATACAACTGCATGTGTATGGGAACTAACATGTGTATGACATGACCATGAGTCCAGCCAAGCTGTTCTCTGTAGGCTTTTTTAAAAAAAAAATAGCAATCTGCCTTACATAGCTGTTTCAAGAATATGTGGAAGAGGAATCATACAGCTTTAAAAAAATCAATAGCTACAGTGCTCTGTTAACTGTTTGAACAGGCTTTTTTTTTAAATGACTCTATGAAAAGCAGCAGTGAACCTGGCCTTCGGGATCAAAGCTAGGCTTATTGCTTCGTTTAAATATATTAGCACAACTCTGCTATATAAACCTGATGCATACTTTAAATATAAAATAGTGCAGAAAAAAAGGAAGATATCATAAGTTGAACTCAGAGGGGGATTCCTCCTGTTCACTCACTGGTTGCACCAAGGACTGCCTGGGGTTTGTTTTGGCTGGGCAATCATAATGTTATGTGAGCAGGCTACACAGAAGATAGGAAAGGGTGGAGAAAACAAAGCACAGATATGACAAAGCTAAATCCCAGAAGCAGATGACAGCCCTCCCTCCATCCCAACTGCCACTGCCCTGGCCTCAGAGGGAGAGAAGAAGAGGCAGACATGGCTCTATGGTGCCCAAGCCCAGAAGTAGAAGAAAGGCCCTTCTGCCTTCCCAAATGCCATTGTCCTGGCCTCAGTGGGAGAGGAGAAGAGGTTGGCATGGCTCCATTATGCCTAAGTCCCGGAGCAGAAGAAAGGCCCTTCTGCCATCCCAAATGGCACTGTCCTGGCCTCAAAAGGAGAAAAGAAGAGGTAGGCATGGCTCCATCACGCCTAAGCCCCAAAGCAGACGAAAGGTCCTTCTGCCATCCCAGATGCCACTGCCTTGACCTCAGAGGGAGAGAAGAAGAGGCTGGCAGGGCTCCATTGTGCCTAAGTCCCAAAGCAGAAGAAAAGTCCTTCTGCCTCCCAACTGCCACTGCTCTGGCCTCAGAGGGAGAAAAGCAGAGGTGGTTTCATCATGCCCAGATCCAGAAGCAGAAAAAAGGCCCTTCTGCCATCCCAAATGCCACTATCCTGGCCTTGGAGGGAACGAAGAAGAGGCAGCATCTGCTTGACTGAATCCCCTCACACACTGTCATTCCCTTTTCCTTTTGTGTCATGTCTTAATTAGATTGTAAACCTGAGCCCAGGGTTTTTCCAGTTGGTCTTTTACTGGTAAAGCACCATGCACAGTGACGGCGCTATATAAATAAATGATAGTGATAATAATAATAAATTAGCTCATCACATACTTGGGAGTTTGCATCAGCCCATCTGTCTGTTTCTATGCACTACCAAACCTTAGGAAAGTTAACTCTCTGGACTGCCACTCCCAGAAATCCCTGCAGCTAGCAGAGCCACTGGCCCTTGAATTCCTTCCCATTCATTCCTGCCTTTTGGTCTCAGACACTCCTGTCTTGTCCACCTATTTTAGGTAACAGTAAAGGATGAACACACATTTACATTCCGTAGTCAGACTGGAATGCATTTAATAACAACCCAGTACTAGAGCTGTACTCTTTAAAAAAAGAAGACTCTCAGCAATGCAAAGAAGCAGGGAATGCCTCTTTCCAAAGGTCATCAAGATACATCTTACTCAGATTGTAGCATTATGGAAAAAGTATGTAGTTGAGACAACAGTTTGCATAAATGCCATTTTCATTCATGGGTTGTTTGTTGTAATGTAAATAGTAGCCAATAAAAGGAGAAGGGCAAGCGGCAGAGACTACAGGGGATGGGTTGAATTTAACCATTCCCCCCCCTTACACTCCCAATGGAAATTACTCCATTACTCCTCTTGCAGCTGCTCTTTCCAACCGTAGAGAAGTCTCCACTTGAAACCAAGAATGGTTTTCCAAGCTAATTACGACCTTACAAGGTTCTTCAATAGGAACCTTGTAAAACATACTCAGAAAGACAGTCAAACCACCTTGTGTTTGCAGAGAAATTTTTATGTCTCTGTAGCTCTCTTACTTCTGCCAGGGTACCAAAGCAATTCTTAATACAACCATTTATAAACACAGTCCTAAAGCACCCATCGCCAATGCTTCCTGCCATTTTTGGTTGCCATCCGTCCACAAGAACTAAAGAATTTTCCACCTCACCCTAGAGTTACACACAGACCTGAGCCATGAAGCAGAATCCACCGACAATGAACAGACCAGCTTGTATTCTCAAACATCCTTTGCCTTTATCCAAACACTGAGCAACCGAGACATGACATGGGACATGGGATATTGTGCCATCGCTTGGCTCCAGCACATGGTGAAAAAACTCAGCACAATCGGGGTGCGTGGAGGTCACCCTCCCTTCCCCCACAGCTTGCTAACCCAGACTCCATACTTGGAGATCTGATCTCAAGGCGAGCCAGCTGTTCACCCTACCCAACCCATTCTTCCTGGCTTGCCATGACCTTCTCAGATTCCAAAGGCTGCCTTCAATTTTCACCCCCTACCAGCCTGTTCTCTTCCCTGCACCTGCCTCGAAACAAAGAGAAAGACAGAAGGTAACCCCATACTGAGCCACTTAGACAACAGCATAAAGGTGGCCTGCAAAGAAAGCATATAAGACAGGTGGCTGGAAAAATCACCTGCTAGTGATTCATAGTGTCAGATGAAAGCATGGCACCACTTCATCAAATGGAGGTGCCAGGAAGAGCTGGTTTTCAGAGCTGAGCCACCTAGAAAGAGCCTTTGACACTGGGCTGTAAACATACTAAGTTGTGTGTTATCATCGCTAGCTAGTATCCTACGGTATTCAGCTACTCCATTGTGCATGCTTAACTAAGGTTGCGTCCATACTGCAGAGTTAACGCAGTTTGACATTGTTTTAACTGCCGTGCCTCAATGCTGTGAAATTCTGGGGTTTGTAGTTCTGTGAGATATTTAGCCTTCTCTCTCAGAGAGAGAGCTCTGGTGCCACCACAAACTACAGTTCCTGGAATTTCATTGCATCAAGGTGGTCTGCAAAGAAAGGAACAGAAGACAGGTGGCTGGAAAAAATTGCCTCCTCAATCCTTTACCTTTCATTTTGCCTGCATCACACACACATACACACATCCAAGGGAAGTGCACCGTTGCACACTGGCAGTAGGAAGCATGGCATCATTTCGTCAAATGGAGGAGCCAGGAAGAGGTGGCTTTCAGAGCTGAGCCAAATGTACACCTATAACAACACTATAACAATACTAACTTGTGTGTCATTATCACTGGCTAGCATTCTACATAGTACAGTATTCAACTGCTTAGTTGTGCACACTTAATTATGGCGGCATCCACCACAAACTACAATTCCTGGAATTCCATCGCATTGAGCCATGGCAGTTCAAGCGGTGTCGAACTGGATTATTTCTGCAGTGCAGATGCAGCCTAAATAACCCTGGCATACACCTCCCCATTATTACTAGTAGCATGGTCACATCCTGACCATGCTCATTACTCCATCACCACCCGTGGGCCTGGTGCTCCACAGAGAATCATAAGAAAAGCAAACAACCAAAACTCACAGCCTGTTGTTGCCCAGAAAGCTTGCTGCCAGAGTTGCCAGCTTTTCCTTTGTTTAAACCAGTTCCTGCTCCACTGCAGCTAAGTCTCCCTCTGATCTGCAGATATTAGCTACGGAGGATTGTGCTTCTTTCCAACCCAGGAAGGACTTCAGTTTCTCTACAGATATTGTTGCCATTGCAAGACACAGGCACATGATTTCCACCCTCCTCTTTACCTTCCCCTGTGGCTGAGAGACTGTGACTTGCCCAAGGTCACCCAGTGGGTTTCCATGGCCGAACTGAAATTCGAACCCTGGCCTCCAGAGTCCTAGTCCAACATTCAAACCACTACGCCATGCTGGCAGACTACGTATCTTTTTTCTGACTATAAAAAGGGTAAACAGCTTCTCCTAGAAGTCATCTTTTTAAAAAGCTGCAATGCCTCCCTGCACTGTTTAACATTTTTAAAATACACATTTTTAAAAGGTGGGCTTCCACCCATTTCCAGTTTTTGTTTTTGGCATTTTTGGTGAGGCCCCAGAGGGTCCCAAGGCAGAAAACTGACCCTGAGATCTGACCCAATTGCCCAAACCTTCACTATTTTTTGGTAAAGTGGGGAAGAGACAGAAAATTATGCAAAGCTCTGACTAACTGAGAGCCAACATGGCATAGTGGTTTAGCATTGAACTCTGAAGACCTGAGTTCGAATCCCAGCTCAGCCATGAAACCCTCTGGGTGACCTTGGGTGAGTCAAATGCTCTCAGCCTCAGCGGAAGGCATTGGCAAATCTCCTCTGAACAAATATTGCCAAGAAAACCCTATGATAAGGTCACCATAAGTCAGAAACGACTCGAAGGAACACAACAACAACTGGCACACTGATGCCCTGCATATGATCTCTTTACAACAGCCTGGCAAGGTAGGCCCAAAGTTTTTGTAACATGTTGCCAATGTGGAAGGGCAAGCTAAAGAAAAGGCTAAGTTCTGGCCTGAACTAATGGGGTGGGTTCATGGTGGAGATGAACCTGGGTTTCACATAGCAACCATTGCCAGGTGCAACCTGGCACATCCCCACTGAGTCTGTGCCATCTCCCAGTATCAGACCAGTATCTGGCAGAGTTAATGGGTTCACAGCAGAATTTGGGAAACCATTTCTTTTGGTTCTGTTTGCTGACTCTAACTATAAGCACTATAAGTACCCAACTATAAGCATCCTGGCACACCTAAGGCCAGTCTATTTTGCATCCTTGGCAAGGCTAACCATTTGCACCCACACTCTGCAAAAGGTTTTGGTTAACTTTCATTTTCCAAAACAGAGATCTTGTTTACAAACAAACTCAAAAAGCACCAAACTTGAAACTATCACATTTATTTTAAATTGCAAAAACAAGCAATCTTTGATCATCTTTCTCAAACACAAAAGAAAACGATTTAGTAAACCAATCGTTTCGAATAATCTTGAGAATTGCAATGTTAAAATGGATGTGTTTCAGGCACATCAAAACCTCCCTTTGCGTGTCTTTTCCTTTGCAAATTGTGCCCCTAAAAGATCAGTACTGTGCCCCTCCGAGGTGTGTGGCCTAGTTGGCCTCATGATAGCATTGATCCGCACACACTCACACCTTCACAACCAGACAACAAGGGTTCCCATGAAGAGCCAGAAAGCTGAGAAGACACAGCATCTGATAGGGGCATTTTGTGCCTTCGATTGTAAAGGTGTCGTCTTTGCAACCCAGATTAACCCAGAGCAGGAGTGTGAGCGTTGGACCAGGATTCTGGAGCACAGGGTTCAAATCCTGGCTCAGCCATGGAAACTCACTAGGTGACCTTGGGCGAGTCACACTTTCTCAGCCTCAGAAGATGGCAATGGCAAACCCCCTCTGAAGAAACTTTCCAAGAAATCCCCATTAGGTTCACCATAAGTCAGAAATGACTTGACGGCACACAACAACAACAATCACTAGCTGGAGCAGTACTGAGACAGTGTGAATTGCACCATGTGCCCACAAAGGCATATTAAAACTTGTGCAGGGTTGGAGAGGGTGCGGGGAACATTCATCCCAAATATTCCAGGAAAGAGGAGAGTCTGCTATTGTTGTTGTGTGCCTTCAAGTTGTTCTTGACTTACAGAGACCCTAAAATGAACCTGTTGATGTTGGGTGCCTTCAAGTCGACTTACGGCAACCCTAAGGCAAATCTATCATGGGCTCTTCTTGGCAAGTGTCTTCAGAGGAGGTGTGCCATCGCTGTCCTCTGAAGCTGAGACAGTGTGAATTGCCCAAGGTCACCCAGTGGATTTCCATGGCCAAGTGGGGAATCATACCAGGGTCTCCTGAACTGTGGTCCAAAGCTCAAACCATTGGTGTGGAGTGACTCCCCACATTTTTGGTCCACCTCTATAGGGTAAAGAACAGCCAGTGTGGCATAGTGGTTTAAGCATTGGACTACCATTCTGGAGACCA